CCACCCCAGGGTCAGGTAGGGCAGGGGCCAAGTCCTGCTCTTCAGTTGATTTTTGGACTGAACGTTTACTTATTCTACATGAAGCAAAGATACAAGACAACAGAAACTCCAGAGGAAGGGGTTAATATAAGCTCCAGCTAGGCAGATGCCCTCAGTATCATCAGAAAAACATGTTTCATCATGAATGAACTGATGTAGGAAAAGCAACAGAAACAAGGGCCTCCTCAGGATTTGATTAGCTCCTTGGTAACAAGCCTAATTGGAAGGAAAGTCTCTCTGACCTGATGTTACCATACAGTTTATGTTTCCCTTATCTTATTGTTACTGAGTTAGGTACTCAGGACATTGTGGAGGTTATGATCAGTGTCATGGTCACTGGCTCTAAAGATTATTTCAGTATTAATAACCATTTCCTTGGGGCTTCCTCACTTACGAAGTTCTAACATGTATCATCTCATTTTCTCACAGTGAATTCCTTGGTGAAACCCAACATTTATCACCCTCACTTTATCAGTGAATTCATCCTTTTTATTAATGTATTAAAAACTCATCTAGTAGTCTGCCAGAATATTTTCAGTTGAATTATCCAGAATTTGGAATTTGGTAAGAGCTAGCTTTTGCTACTTGCAGTGTTAATCTCATGCCTCTTAATAAGCACTGAGAGGAAATTTAAAAAGAATCGAGAAATGATAGGCTATAAAGATACTAGCAAAGTGAAGCTCTATCCAGGAAGAGACTATATACACATATATGAGAGGAGAAGGTACAGATTCATGCTTCTCGAACTTTCACCTTGTGTTCTGGCTAAAGTGTTGATTCTGATTCAGTAGGTCTCAGGTAGAGCCTGAGGTTCCGCATTTCTAACAATCTCCAGATAAGACACTGTGCAGGTGCAGACCACATCTGGAGACAGAAACCCGGAAGGAGGTTTCCTAATGATTAGTCATCCACTTGGGGACAGATTCAGAAGTGTGTGTTACTAGCGGCAACCAAGTTAGAATAAGGGGGTCACAGAGAGTCACCTTCAATATCTCTGCACTTTGTGGGGGTAGCAGGGGAGGCTCTCACAACATTTGGGGGCCAGAGTCATAAACAAAAGTGAGGATCGGTGGAATGTGAGCTTGGTGACAAATTGTAGATTGTTCTATGGAAGTTTGCCTAGTGAGTAAGGATTGCTACCTGGCGGAGTGATTACTAAGTTGTATTCTTGCCATCTTTCAAAACAGATTGTGTGTTGTGTGTGTGTGTGTGTGTGTGTGTGTGTTGTGTGTGTGTGTTTTCACCACTGGACTGTCAGTACGCCCCTGTTATTAAGAAAAAGATCTGTCCACCCATTTCCTCATTCTAGCCTGGTGAGAGCCCAGAGGGAAGGGTGTCTTCCGGGAGAGCCTGGGGGCCGTGAGCCTGGAAACTGGAGCATGAAGGCAGAGTGTGTTCTTTGGAGCAGATATGGTCAAAAGCGAGAGGCCAAACTCCTGTGCCTTCAGACATATTCAGGAGAGTCAGGAGCTTGTAGCCAAAGGAAAGGGCCAGCGGGAAGAGCCGGAGGAAGGGGCTGGCTAGGGAGGCCCAGACAGTGGCCTCAGGGGCCTCCTTTTAGTATCCAAGGGCCTCATCCTCTAGGGCAGAGTCTGCAAAGTTTCCTTTAAAGGGCCATATAGTAAATGTTTTCAGCTTTGCAGACCATAGAACCTCTACTGCAGCAAATGAATGGTGTCCAGGGCAACCACAGATTATAAATGAATGGGCATGGCAGGGTGCCAATAAAACTATTTATAGACATTTAAATGTGAGGATCCCAAATTATTGTGCCCCAAATTACTGTTTTTTAAATTTTTTTCAACCACTTAAAAATGTGAAAACCATTCTTGCAGGCTGCACAAAGGCAGGACTCAGGGTGGATTTGGCCTGCAGCTGGGATTTCCAGACCCCTGACCAAGAGGCTGGGTTGGTCTGGCAGGATTTCAGTGGACAGATCTTTCATTGCAAAATTTTAGAGGTTGTAAGAAGATGGCTTGGCACAAAGTCTAGCACGTAAAATATAATTAGACACTAAATTAAATGGGAAAAAATGGGATCATTCCATATTAGGGACATTACAAAAAAATCCCATGGAGCCTATTCTCTCTAATATGCAAAGTGTGCTAAAATAAACTTATTTTGGATAGCGACACAATTCCTGTACAGCACATCACAGAGAGTTTCATTTATGTCTGATCTTCACAGCAGCCTTTCTGAGCAGTTAGGACAGAAGTTAGCCCTGTGTCACAGAGACAGATTGTGGTGCACAGAGCTAGGGCCACCACGCCAAGGCGACTGCGCTGCTGACAGGGCCAGGCTTCCTCCTGTAGATGCTGTTTTTGTCTTCACCTCCCCATCTGGGTGGTCCTTGGGAAGAGTTGTACTCTAAAATACCATTCATAAGTCACTCAGCATCTGCAACTTTACTCTTTAGAGAAGAAAAAAATGGTTGGATTCCTGGGTTATCTGCAAATGATTGTTTCAGCGATAATGTTGCAGAATTGCCATCCTACAGTGTGGTAGCATACATTTTGGGTCCTGGTGACTGTGAGAAGTAGGAAAAGCAAATAATGATAATTTCCTGTGCCCCTAAGTGGCCTAGACAAAGTCCCAGGGGTCAGTGATGGCTTGGCACCTTCTGCCTCCTTGGCACCCGACTTTCCTGTCTCTCTCCATCCAGGGCCCCCAGCCTGGCCTGCTTCCTCTTATGAAACTCATCCTCGGCTGGTAGCTCTCAGCTTTACCTGTCAGGATCTTTGGAGGAGCTTTAGAAACTACCAATGCCTGTGCCTCCCCTCCAGAGACAGTCCACTGGGCCAGGGGTGGGCCTCAGCACTGGTTAGTTCTGCAAGTTTCCCAGGTGACCCGCTGCAGCCCAGGCTCTGGGAGAGCTGGCAGGTGGCAGCTGTGGCTCCGCCCTGCCCTGGGCCCTCCCCCTCTTGTGTCTCTGGCCTCATCAGGGCCTTTGTCTGGTAAATGGCGCTGGCCCTGTGCTTGTCCCCACCTCTGTGATCACAGCTGCCTGAGGCCATACCCCTGCTTCTTGTCTAGAGCAGTACTTCTCAGTCTGTCTACGAGGAAGAATCATTTTCATTTACTTCTTTTCATAGAACTTTCCAATCTGTTACCTTATAAAATACAACGAAAACACATTATTAGGAAAAGGAAATGAAGAGAAAAAATATGCAAAATACATGCCCAGCCTTTTATAATTGGTGTTAGAAGGCACAGAATTACTCCAATTGCTATAAAAGTACCTCAGTTTGTGCACTGATCTCAGGGAAGACGAGTAGCAGTTGCTGTGAGTGCCAGCCCCAGGCCAACACTGCTGAGGGCTCCGGTCTGCAGCAGCCATGGTGCAGCCTTCTGACCCGTGTGTTGGCCACTCCCTGAATACATAGGCTTTCACTTTTTTATGCTTTGACCCCAAATTTCCTCTGCTTTCTGAAATGCCCTGTCTTCAAGATGCAGGGGAATGTCATCTTCTGTATGAAGCCTTCTCTGACTCCACCTGAATAATTCAGATACCTTCATTCAGCAATTACCTACATATTTCTTCTACTGTCCTCTGCTATCACTAGGCCTGGCTGCCTAATTTGTGGGGCCCTTGTTTATAAAGTATTAAGAATTTCAGAATGGAGATGACAGAGTATCTGAAATGTGTGGGGTCTTTAAAAAAATTATTTTTTAAGGTGTACAAGGTGTTCCTTTTAATCATCTATGTATTACAATAGTGCATTATAGTAATATCACATGACTATAGTACAGTATTATTGTCTATATTCATTGTACTGCATATTAGATCTCTATGGCTTATTTACTGCTCATTGCAAGAGGGCCTTCTGAGTGCACGGCCCTGTGTGGCTGTACAGCTCACTCGCCCACAAGGCGGCTCTGCCCATATCTTTGTGTGCGCCCTGTAGGAGCACTCATGCCACTGAACTGTAATTATCTGAGTGCAATGACGTGGAGAAGACTGTATGTATCAGCATTCCTTATAGGGGCTGTAAAGTGTGTGGTCTGGATGGAGTGAGCTTCCTGAGGAGCACGGGCAGGTTGCAGTGGATTTTCACGAAATGCCGTTAGAATGGCAGCCCTATTAATAGCAGGGTTCTGGCTCCTTTATGGTGTAGGTATGCCGGTGCTGTGGCAGAGATGGAGAGAGAGCAGGTGGGAGGGGCATCCCCTGAGCACACGGGAAAGCACCTATGGGCCGTGTGACATGCGTGTGCCCTATGCCCACGATGTCCGCTGTGGGTCCACATGGCTGGCTGAAGCTGTGTGAAGGAGCCCCCTTTTGAAGATGCAGAGAATTGCTGAATCCACAGTGAAGACTGCTGCTCCCAGCCCTCTTTTGGTTCACACATGTGTGTTTCTTCTAAGAGAAGACAGTCCCCACCCAGTCTGCTTCAGTGTTGATTGAGTGGCTGAGTTGGGCCTTAGCCAGAGCACATCTCCCAGGGGTTCTGGGTTGGCCAGTGCTACAAGATAAGCAGAAGATCAGAGGCCATTTGGGGAGTTTTTCTGTGCATAGGAGCCCTGCTGGCAGCATGCCCAACAATGTCAGGAATGGTAAGGAAAAGTGGGTGTGGAGAAGGCCCCAACTAAAATGGGCTTTTGCCCCAGACTCATGCTGGTGTCTTCTGTCTCCCACTTTCCTAAGTTCCCAGCTGGAAACTTAGCTCGTCCCCACAGCATCTCTTGCTGGTGTTCTCTTGTGGCCTTTAGGAGACAGGGTGGGAAAGGAGGGGATGGAATACTGGGGGCACTGAGTCACGGGATCATTTTGAGGGGCTCCCCTTGCCCAACCCAGGAACACAAAGAGGTGCTTTTTCAGGAACTGAAAGTTTCCAACAGCCCTCCTTGGTGGGGCTCTCTGTCAGGCTGGATTAACTCTTGGTTAACATTTAATCTTTAGTTTATAATTAAAACTTGGAAATTTGGCCAACAAATAGATGCTGTTTCTAACCTCATTCCAGGTATCTGCACCTCGGGCCGGGCACCAGTGACCATGAGGCGGCTCAGAGGCACTCTCTCAAGTAGTTGCCGCGTGATGTGTAGTGGCCGGCAGCGCTGGCGGTGGTGGGAACTGGGAGGCCGCGAGAGTCACGCCGCACCTTTCTTTGAGGCCCCACCCCACCACCACCCAGCCCCGGCTGCAGGAGGCAGGTTCGCAGTGCACTGGGAACACCTTCCCATGCGGGGCCCGCTCGGTTCTCTCCGTCCCGTTAGTACATAGTCTCCATGCTGAATGTGCGTTTGTCTTGTTCTGACCGCAGCCCCAGCGTGCTCTTCCCAGCAGCGGGGCCAGGTGTGTGAGCGGGGCTGTAGAAGGACTCTTTCCAAAGTTTGCCCGAGCTGGAGGGTGAATGCCTTGGAAGAAGGCCCTCTTTGGAAAGGAATGCTGGGGGTCTGTGGGGGAGGGGAAGCCTGTCTCTTCTCTCTCTTAAGACTCTGCTCCTGCTCGCTGCTGAAGCTCCAAGCTTCCCCACTGCCCTCCCCCTGCAGGCTGGACTGGCGGAATCTGATCCTCCCGTGGCTAAGGCACCGGCAGACAGGGCTGCAGGCCAAAGGCCAAAACTTTGTGCTGGAGGACTCCCCCTTCTGGATCTTCGGGGGCTCTGTGCACTATTTCCGTGTGCCCAAGGAATACTGGAGGGACCGCTTACTGAAGATGAAAGCCTGTGGCTTAAACACCCTTACCACGTGAGTGTGGCCCACTCCTGCCCCCTGCCTCGTTACCCTGTGGGGCTCCTTGCACCTGTGTCCAGGGCTGCCTTGTGGCAGGAAGATCCCAAACCAGAGCAGCCCCTAAATGGAATCTTTGGGCCGAGCTTTGTGAGGAAAATATAGGAGGAACAAGTAGCCTGTCCCCTCTGCTATGGTGTCCTGGCTTAGACCTTACCCAGTAAGTCTCCCCTCTCCCTAATCCCTACAGCTTCCCATTCGTAGGGATGGAAAGATGGGAAATGGGTAAGGTCTAGAGGAGCAGAAAGAGCAACATATACAAAGGAGTATAGGTGGAGGAGGTGATTAAGTTATCATGAATTATTTTGTTGACAAGCATTCCACTCCCCAGTTTATATAGCAAATAAGTATAATTTCCTCCAAACAGCTGCCTTGAGAAGCTGTCAGCAGCGGTCCGTGCTCCTTGTTAGCATTACCTTTAGAATGTCATGGCTTTCCCCCTAGTCCCTAGCACAGGGATTTGCATGTGGCTGACACTCAGGAATAAGTTGATATAAATCATAAAATGTGCTCAGTTACGGAAAATCCCGATCTCTTCCTGGATTTATTTTTCAAAATTGCCAACAGATATTTGAGTCTAAGTCTATGAAACAAAGTGTGCTACCAGGCTGGGTTATTCTGTTCCCAGGCAAAAATATGTGATTACAAATCAAGGACATGCATTTTCTTGGGTGGTTTATGAGCTGACTTTGAAGACAATTTCTAAAAAGGGTTACAGGAATGGTCTGAGCTATGACATCATAGTAGAATAAATGTGTATAACTTTGAGAAAAATTATAAAATGATCCACTCATTTGCGTAGGTAAGTTCTGATCCTGGGGGTACCTTCACACATTAGGATTCTTGAAGCTTGTAGGAATACTGCAGGGTAAACATTCTGCCCTATAAAAAAAGGATGTATTTGCTTAAACATGGGGCTCTTTAAGTTGAATTGAAAGCAAGCAAGCCTCGCCTCCTTTTCTGTGCACATAGTCTTTGCAGTGGGAGAGGGCTCGGCCAGAAGCCAGGCTCGGTGGAGTTCCGCAGAGGAGCAGCCGTCATCACCATCATGAGACGTTGCTGCACACTTTTGCCCCTTAGAGAACTTGCTTCATTTCCTTTTCTTCTCTTTAGAGTTAGACCCTCCATTCTGTTACAGGGTTTGGAATTCTACATGCTTCACTAACAATAGGACAGATAATTGAGGCTTTCTTTTTCTTTGCATTCAACTGTTTTTCCTGTCCAGTTACTTCTTTCCTCTGACGAAGAGAGAGAAAGAGGGGCAGGGAGGGAGGGAGGTGGGGGGAGCGCATGCTCAAGCTGACCCGTGGTCATATCTTATGTGTCACTCAAATTTTGTCAGCCTCTCTTCCTTCTAAGAAGACAAGGTTCTAGTCCCCTGGAGACTGGCTCTAGATTCTCTAGGGTCCCTCAATCTCTTCAGTTAGTTTGTGGTTCCTGCCTGACACCATTAAGACAGTGTACCTAAGGAAATGCAGCCTCCACCACCATAATGGGTTTTAGGGATAAAGAAGGTAATCTGTGAGAGAATGTGTAATAAATTAAAAGCTCATGCCTTCTCTTCCCAATTACAGCTATGTTCCATGGAACCTCCATGAGCCAGAAAGAGGCAAATTTGACTTCTCTGGGAACCTGGACCTGGAGTATGTGCTGTGGCTGCATCTGGACCTACCTGGGGCAGGAGGCAGAGGGGTGGCTCCTGGGGGTGACTTAGTTAGTGGCCATGGGGGCATCTTGGCTCTGCTTTAAGAACTGGAGAGAGACAGATCTGGATGGAGCTTGTTCTCAGAATGCTGTGAAGGGCTCTGCCCCCAGGACATAGGGGCTCCCAGCCGTAAACCTGCTCCTCCCAGGGCTCTGGGCCTGCCTCCACCGAGCTCAGACTCTCCGCTGCAGCCCAAGGTGCCTCATCCCATCAGCCCTGCTCTGCAGTGTGGTCCGTCTAGCCCCGGGCGGGGACGGGGTACCCCTCTAGGGCAACAAGGCCGTGGGGGTCAGGTTCACTGTTAGGATTGCCCATGCCCTGACTCCCTTCCTCTTCATGCCCCCACTGTGGCTGCAGAGATGGTCCTAGGCTGGGAGGGAGGGAGTACCCAGGGCCTCTGGCCTGTGGCCTGGTGTAGGGGTTTCCTGCTCAGCTGGGGAAGGGGCTGTGGCCTTCCCTGCACTTGCCCAGTGTCTCTGTCTCAGGGAGGAGGGCAGGTGAGGAGAGGAGCCAGGCAGCCCCTGCCCAGCCTCTGCTCTGATGTGTGAGTTGCTGACCTTGCCCTCCCCCGGACCCACCCAGGGCCTTTGTGCTGATGGCAGCAGAGATTGGGCTGTGGGTGATCCTGCGTCCAGGCCCCTACATCTGCAGTGAGATCGACCTTGGGGGCTTGCCCAGGTGAGCAGGGGCGTGAGAGGCTCTGGCTGTGGCTTGAATTTGTATTGTAAAGTTGTGCAAAACACTAATCAGAAACATAGGTGTAATTTGCTATTCAAATATAGTTTTCATTCTGTAATGAAGTTCCTTTTCAAAGTAAGTGGTACCCAGAGGTGCCATGTCATCACAATTGTGGGCTCTGTCAAATTTCATGTGGCTTGTATGTGGCGGGCCGCGGGAGCAGGACTGGCCCTCCTCAGGCACATCACCGCACTGGGCTCTGCTATGGAGTTGGGACCTCTGTCAGGTCGTCTGTCTGCTCTGGACCTTTCTACAAAATGGGAAAAGTCAAATCTGCCCTGTCTGTTGCTCAGGGATGTTACCAAGCATTTTTTGTTTAAAGCCCAAGTATTTTGATAACATGTAGGAGAAACAAATTATTATTTTTGTTTTCTTTTATCTTGAAATCTTAGGCCCTCCTGAATTATGTTAGGAGGTATAGCTTCCATGGAGGTCAAGAGAGTGCTCTGTGGTTGGAGCAGAAATCTGGACAAGAGGCACCTGGCACTGCACTCATTCCTCCTCCTTGTCATTGCCGGTGTTTCCTGTCAGTGGTCATAATCTTTCCCAACCTCACAGTGTTTCCGAGGTCGGACCCGCACTCCCCCACCCCGTCCTGCCCAGGAGGGAAGAACCATCCTGTTTGCTGTGCCAGCTCCTGTGGGAATGGCCTCCTGCAGCGCAGCCACCAGCCTGGGCATTGTTTTCTCTCTCGTCTCAGGTGCAACCCAGCCCTTCTCTAGGGAGCACGGGCTCATCTCTACCTCCTCCATCCCAGGATCACTGCTGGCACTGTGCTGTCCAGCTTAGCAGGAGTGTCCTCACGGAGGCCAAGCACACGGCCAGGGTGGCATCCCCCCCACCTGGGGATCAGAAATCTGTGTGTCAGCAATGTCCTCAAGCTCAGCCGCCACGGCCCAGGAGGGCAGGGTTAAGTCTTAGCTCAGAGGCAGGGAGGCTCTGTGCTCAGACCACCCCCTGGCCATGCCTGTCCATCAAGGTCCTAGTCGCTTACAGGATGGACACCTGGGCACCGAGAGGAGGCTGAGCCAGATGCCTGGGAACAGGTAGAATCCCATGGGCATGAGAAACTAGGCCTGTTCTGTGGAGGTGGCATGTGGGGGTATCTATCTGGAGGAAACTGCTTTCTCCTGTCCACTTTTACCTGATGTCAGTGGGAGATTTCTGACCCTGTTCAGGGCTTCCAAATCAGGATGACAGAAGTGCCAGAACTTCCTATTAGATAATGTATTCTCAGGGTTTCAGGTGAGAAGAGAAGATGCCTTGACTCCAGCCCTGGAACTAATGCTGTGTGTTCCTGAGGAAGGAGGGCACAGAGGGCATGGGGGGCAAGCCACTCCTCTTGCTCAGCAGCTCCTGCCCCGGCTGTGCTGAGCACTGTGGCCCCAGGGCCAGGTGGGCCGCAGACGCTGGGCCAGCATGAGGAGAGGCTGGCCACTCGCACCATGGCTGGGGGACTCTGTAAGCTTACATCTGTGCCCTTCTCCAGCCCCAGAGACTCCTAGCCTCTTTGGCTTCACCCCTTTGTCATGAGACTGTAGGTGGCTGCTTGAAAATGTGGCCTTGAGTTTGATAAAAAGTTTTTCTCTGAGCGGCAGCCTGACATAGAGCCATGAAGTTGGACTGAACTTCCTGCCCCTGCTGCTGTCCTTTGGCGAGGTGCAGTGCCAAGTGCAGGGCTTGAGCTGGGGCCACGCTCACTCCCAGGTCGGGTGGCACTGTCTCCTGCCTGGCTGGTGGGGGTAGCGGCGTGGGGATGCCCAGCTCGCTCCTGAGCAACCCGACACTGCTTCCTTTTCACTCCACTATCATCCTGCCCCAAGCAAACCCACAAACTGTGAAACTAACTCTCCTCCCCTTTTGTTCAAGCTGGTTACTCCAAGACTCTGGCATGAGGCTGAGAACAACTTACAAGGGCTTCACCGAGGCAGTGGACCTTTATTTTGATCACCTGATGTCCAGGGTGGTACCTCTCCAGGTAAAAGCAAGCAGAAACAGTCCTGGGTGAACTCTCAGACCAAGGGTTGAGGGGCTCCTTCCTGCACAGACTGTACACATTCTTCCCTACTTCCTGAGATCTACAGTGGGAGGGGTTTACAGTGGTTGTTTTTTTTAAAAATCCCTCTATTTCAGTGTTGTCTGAGGCAGTGCAGTGCTGAAATGGCAGAAGGGTGAAAGGGCCTACATTATCCACACGGTGCTGCAGCTGCAAGCAAGATGGGATTAGCAGGATGGTTTAGCAAGTTGTAGTAGGTTGGGTGGTGGAGGTAGAGGATGGAGTGGTAAAGAAGACCATGCCAGGAATATGGGTCAGAAGCATTCTTAAACTTGGAAAAGGCATACCAAACCTATTTCTTTTTAAAATTTTCTGGCCATAATTACTTTATTATTTTTTTATTGTGGTAAAATATACACAACATCAAATTATTTTTGACTGTTTTTAAGTGTACAGCTCAGTGGCATTAAATATATTCACATTGTTGGGTAACTGTCACCACCATCATCACCAGAACTCTAATCTTCCCAAACTGAAACTCTATCCCCATTAATCACAAACTCCCTATCTCCCATCTTCACTGAATGGCCTCAGTGCCCTTACAGAAAATCATTTGACCATACATGTGAGAGTTTATTTCTGGTCTCATGTTATTCCATCAGTCTATATCTGGCTTTATGCCAGTGCCACACTTTTAATTATCATAGCTGTATTGTAAGTTTTGAAATCAGGAAATGTGAGACCTCTAACTTTGTACTTTTGTTTTTATAACATTATTTTGTCTATTTGGAGTCCCTCAAGATTCCATATCGATTTTAGGATAGGTTTCTCTTTTGGAAAAAACACTAGAATTTTAATAGGAATTGCATTGAATCTGTAGATCACTTTGGCAAATATTGATCTCTTAACATATTAAGTCTTCCAATCAATGGACTGTCTTTTTTATTGCTGTCTGCTTTAATTTCTTTCATCAGTGCTTTGCAGTTTTCAGTGTACAACTACTTTCCTTCTTTGATTAAATTTATTCCAAGTTTTTAAATATTTTTAATGCTATTGTAAATAGAATGGTTCATTGGTAGTGTATAGAAACAGAACTGAGTTTTTTTGCATTGATTTTGTATCCTGCAATTTCGCTGAATGTGTTTATTACCACTTAGAGTTTTTGTGTAATCTTTATGATTTTCTACATATAAGAGCATATTGTCTGCAAATAGAGATTATTTTACATCTTCCTTTCTAATTTGGATGCCTTTTATTTCTTTGGTCTAATTGCTCTGGCTAAATTTTCAATACTATGTTGAATGGAAGTGGTGAAAGCAATAATCCTTGTCTTGTTCTTAATCCTAGAGGAAAAGCTTTCAATCTGTCACCATTCAGTATGAAATTGGCTATGGACTTCCATATATAGCCTTTAGTAGGTTGAGATTATTTTCTTATATTCCTAATTTGTTGAGTGTTTTTGTTGTGAAAACATGTTGAATTTTGTGAAATGCTTTTGCTGCACCAGTTGAGATGATCATGTGGTTTTTCCCTTGATTTAATTAATGTGTCATGTTATATTGATTTCCATTGAGCCATCCTTGCATTTAGGAATAAATCCAACTTGTTCATGGAGTATAATCTTATTAATATGCTGTTGAATTTGGTTTGCTAGTATTTTGTTGAAGATTTTTGCATCAATATTCATCAGAGATACTGTTCTGTAGTTTCCTTGTAGTTTTTTTCTGACTTTGGTAATACCGGCCTCATAGGGAGGCATTGCTACTTTCCCTTGTATTAAGTAATTTTTTATTGTAACAAGTTTGATTCCCTTTTCATTTCTTTTTGCATATATTCTATAGAAATTTTCATTGTTATCATGGGGATTACATATACTGTCCTAAAGTTAGGACATTCTATTTTATATTGATACCAACTTAACTTCAAATACATGTAAAAACTACTCCTTTATAGCTCTGCTCCCTACTCTGTTTGATGTCACAAATTTCATCTTTATATTGTGTACCCATTTATGTAGATTCGTAATTATTTTTTATCATTCATCTTTTAAATCCTATAAAAATAAGAAGTGGATTTGTTAACTGAAATTACAATAATAGTGGGTTTTATTTTTTTTACATACTGGTTTTCACATTTTTTTCTTGAGCTTTGTATTTTCATATGGCTTTGAGGTGTTGTCTAGCATCCTTTCATTTCAACTTCAGGAACTCCGTGTAGCACTTATTGTAAGGCAAGTCTAGTGGTAATGAATCCCCTAGTTTTAATTTGTCTGGGAATGCCTTCATTTTTCCCTCATTTCTGAAGGATAACTTTATTGGATATAGAATTCTTAGTTGATAGGTTGTTTTTCCTTCATTACTTTGAATACTTCATTCTGCTGCCTCTGTCCTGCAGGACTTCTGATGAGACAGCCCCTGATACTCTTATCGGGGATCCTTTGTACATATCAGGTTGCTTTTCTCTTGCTTATTTCAAGCTCTCCGTCTTTGGCTTTTGACAACTTGAGCATAATGTGTCTCATTATGGGACTTTGGGTTATGCTATTTGGAGTTCATTGACGCTTTTTGGATTTGTATCTCCAGGTATCCTAAAATTTAAGAGATTTTCAGTCATGATTTCTTCAGATAATATATCTGCACTATCTGTTCTTTCTTCCCTTTTTTGTGTTTCCATAATGAGTATATTTGCTTAAGATGTTGCCTGAGTTCGTCAGGGTCTGTTCACTTTTCTTCATTCTTTTTTCTCTTGTTCCTCAGACTCAATATTTAAAATGTATTCAAGATGCCCATTCTTCCTTGTGCCTGCTTGAATCTGCTATTGAACTCCTATGATGAATTTTCTATTTAGAGACTGTATTTTTCAGCTTTGGAATTTCTGTTTAGTTATCTTTATAATTTCTGTCTCTTTATGAATATTCTCATTTTGTTCATATTTCCTTTTCTTGATTTCTTTGTATATGTTTTTCTTTAGCTGTTTAAGCATATTCATAACACTTGCTTTAAAATCTGTCTAATAAGTCCAGTGCATGTTTACAGGCTATTTCTAGAGATTTATTTTGTTCCTTTGAATGAACCATGCATTCCTGCTTCTGTGTATGCCTTGTATTTTTGTTGTCATTGTTGAAAATTACACATTTGAAAAAAGTCACCTCTCCCAGTCTTTGCAGACTGGTGGAAAACACCACTCTTTAGCAGGCTCCTGAGCCTTGAGCTCAGCCTGGAATGAAGGCCTGAGACCTCAGATATTTTCTAGGTAGGCCTCCTGTCTCATCTGTGTGTGTGCTTTTTTTAACTCCTTGATTTCTCCTGCTTTTACATGTCTTGTTTTTTCCAGAGTCTCAGCCAGCTTTCTGTGGCTTTAGATGTATTCCTTGCATGTAATAACCTTGCCCCAGGCATCCATGGTTCTGTAGTCCACCTGAAGTGTTCTCATGTAATTCACCCTACCTTCTGCAGCTTCTAGCCTGAGACCCAAACTCTGCTAACGTTTCCTATCTGAGCTCCAAGTCAGATGAGACAGAAACTAGTCCACTGGGCAGGCCATAGACAGCCCAGAGCATTGTAAACAAGTTTCACTTTGCTACTTTCATCCTGGGGGAATTGGGGTGCTCCCTTCTGACTCCTGGCAATGCTATGCCAGGAAGGAGCTGGGGCAAGGCTGAGCAAAACACCATGAATTTCCCACCATCTAAACAGCGCTTTTTCTTCATTGGATGTTCACTTGTTTGTTAAACATTTGACTGTTTTCCTGGGCCCCTATAAAGTTATTTTTGTCAGTCTGTAGTTGTTTACTTTCCATAGGGGAACAGGGTCAGAAGCTTCCTATTCTGTGTCCTACCGACATCACTCTCAATTAGATACAAAACCTTTTGAGACTTTGGCTTTCAAGTGAGATGTTTTGCTAGTAATTGGCCATAAGTATGGTGAAATTAGATAATACAGTTACCAGTACAAACTCAGCTTCTGATTTTTTAATCTCATTTCCCCAGTACAAGCACGGAGGACCCATCATTGCTGTGCAGGTGGAGAATGAATACGGCTCCTATAACAAAGACCCTGCCTATATGCCTTACATCAGGAACGTAAGAGTCAGCTCAGTCCATTTCTTCATATTCCTTCCTTGGGGATATATTATGGGCTCTGGTGTGGCAAGGCAGTCTAATACTTCTCTCATGTCAATACCACATCTCCCAGTTCCATTCACTAGTGAATCCTTTCTCCATATTTTTATTTCAACCGGGTTGTCACTTATTTACCCTTTATCAATTTAGTTTAATTGGGCTTGATGTATACGCATGGTGTTGGTATTGCAGGGGCCAAGAATAAAGGAATTGACTTAGTTGAGTTGTGATGATTTGAAAAGTCTTCCTGGAGAGGCTGAATCTTTCCAGCATCTCAGGCAGTGCTTCCTGTCTTTGGCTGTGTGTTGGTTTCATCTTGGAAATCTTTAACAATCCCTATAGACCATATACCATGACAATTACATAAGAATCTCTGGGTGGTGCTCAGACATCTGATGCCAAAGTGTAGGAGAGCTTGAGAACCACTTAATACATGGCAGGGGAAGTTAGGGCTAGAGTAACACTTAAAAGAACAGGCTAATACTCAGATCTGCTGTGTGCCCGTTAGTAGCAGAGACTTTGAACAAATGCCTTACTTTTCTCCTCTATGAAGTGGGACTAATGAGTGTTTGTCTCTCTGAATTTGTGTATCCATGAGATCACAGGGCTCAGTACTATTCTAGGCATAGTATAAGAAGTCAATAAATAAGACTTTGATAGAATCATGAGCATTGGCTGTGGAGTATTTAGAAGGGTTGGCCATGGTATGAGTTGGGAAAATATTATACGGACACAGTGAATCCACCTAATTAAAGATGCTTTGCTTGGTTCCTTGATGTCCTGGGCAGCATGTCTTTTGCTGTCCAGGCAGATTCATTTTCCATCTGGAAATTACTTCTTCCCTGCAGACAGGTAGACTGAGGCCCCAGCTTGTAGATTCTTATCCATTCTTTCCCCTTCTTCTCATGTGCAGAAAGCCCACTGTGTAGGGGCGCAAGGCTGTCTGCAAGGAGAGTGGCATTCCTAAATCTGGAAAGGGGAAAGTTCAGTCCTGATAGTCAAGGCGTCTACCACATCTTGGGTCAGGTCACACCTCCAACTGCCTCTCTGTCTTTGAATTAGCTAGAAAGGTCCCCACCAAGAAGCAGAGACTTTGAAGGTGAATGGAGTGTAGGTTAGTTTCACGCTTGTTCATTATTGGCTCTTTATTCAACCCCTGGGAAGCTCTCTGTCTATACATATTGAGCAGGACAGTCCATGTAAACTGCTTAGCAGAAGGCCTGGCCTGCTTAGAAATGTTAGCATATTCAAAGTGGTGAGATCATTACTGTTCTTTAGCACTTTGTGGGTTCCTGCCACTTCCTCTTCTGATTTACAACCTTCAGGGAGCACTTCCTGTTCTCCTGGGCACCTGCAGCAAATAGGCATATGACTGTTGACCAGAGCGCACCCTGGCCCAGTGTGGGGAAGGGATGGGCTGCTTGCTCCTGGGGTGGGTAAAGCAGAGGGTAGGTTGTCCTGGAGCCACTGATCTACTCCTGGAGCCCTGCCGTCAGTTTCTGGGTGACAGCATGGCAATTAGTCTTGTTGAGCTGGCCTCTGAGTAGGCAGGTCTAGGAGCAGCATGCCAGCCAGACCCGGCACCCTGGAGATAGGAGCATGCCAGCCAGATGTGGCACCCTGGCAGATTGGAGCAGCTGAGGCCTGCCACAGCCTGACAGCCCTGCCCCTGCCTTTGCTGGACTTTCAGCTGATGGGAGCTTTGTCAAATGTGGTGGGCACAGACAAGGGGGCATTCTTCTTTTTTTGCATAGAAATGAATATTCTGTTTTGAATGTTGCCCTCTTTCTCTTCTGGCTGCCACATTCCCAGCTGTGACATGGCAGGAACTTTGAGGAATGACAGCCTTTGACTTTCCTATTTTCCCCTGCAGGCCTTGGAGGATCGAGGTATTGTGGAGCTGCTCTTGACTTCAGACAACAAGGACGGCCTTCCAAAGGGAGTCGTGGATGGAGGTGCCTGCCTGGAGCCTTGTGGGTGTGGGGGGCAGTGCCCTGGCCTGTTTATGCTCCCCAGACGGCCTATGTCACAAGGGAATTCCTTTGGTGCCTGTTCTCCATTTGCATGGCACGAGGCCCTGAAGCCCCAGGCCTCAGAGCACTGGGGACAGGCTTGCCATAGCCCGCTCTCCCATTTCCACTGAACACTAGGGGCGCTCCCAGGGGTCTGCAGACTGCGGCCGGGAACAGCGGACTGGCCTCTGAGGAGGTCCACGAATGGCAGCAGAGCAGACTGAGCGGATATAGTATTAGGCGCACTCAAATCCCGCCGAAGTCATAGGGACGGCTGGCCACTTCCGGGTCCGTGTGGTCCCTACTGTGACAGACAGTAGCTGGGCAGTGAGCGTGGCAGCAGACCACAGTAGCCTCCTGCCCCCGGACTCTGCCCTTCTTGCCATGGCAGGGACACTGGCCCCACCCCAGTTAGGCCAGCTGCTCCTCACATGCCCGAGTCCCTCTAGCACCTGTTTAGGGCCATGCTCCCACAATACCTTCCTGCCCCGTGCCGTCAACCCCTCTTTATTGGATTATTCCCATCTGTATAGGAACATGTCATTTTCCCTTCTAAAAAACATCCCAGCGGCTGTTCCATTTCTCTGCCCCCTCCTCGTGCCCTGCACATGTCCTTGCCAGCTCCCCTCGTCCCTTGCCTCTCAATCCTCTTAAACATGGTGATCACATTGCCCCACCATCCCCTGGCCTTGCTCTTTTCAAGGTTGCTGGTGACCTCCTGTTAAAAACTTAAGCTGATAGTCCTTGTCACCTCTGACCTCTGATTTTATATGTCAGCAACCTTCAATCTCTTTTCCTTGACAGCTTTTCCTCTCTTGGCGTCTGCGACACAATTTCCTGTTTTTTCTCTGCCCTCACAGGCAGCTTCTTGGTGTCACCCTCCCTGAAACCTAGTGCTCAGATTCCTTATGGCTCACTCCTTGGAGTGCACTCTGCTCTTCTCTCTGAACACTGACCACCCTGTGGTGTCTCCAGATGGCTTTAAAAACCGTTACGTGTTGATGAGTCTGAGTTTTGTGTCTATCAGGGGCCTTTCCTGAACTCCTGCCTCACAGGTGCATCTGCCCACTGGGCATGCCCCGCCCAGGAAGTCTGCCAGTCTCCTTGGAACCAGCAGGGACTGGACTTGTCTGGGTCCCTCCAGAACCTGGCCCACTTTCAGTCTCCTTTGTCTAGTACATTGCAACTCTGTTCTCCCTCAGGGGCTCAGGCCCAGGCCGTGTAGTTACTCGCAGTTGCTATCCTGTGTGCCTGACACAGCCATGAGCAAATCCTTTTCATCTTTGTCTTCAGGACTTACCCAGGATTCAGTAAGCTTGGCCACCTCTGCAGTTGCCATCACTTCTTATTTGTGCTCTTGTGACAGCATTGGAGTCAATCTCCTTGTCACTGCTGGTTCCCCCACAGCTTTGCCCACCTTAGCAGCCTCTGGGAATTCCCTCACGTTCCCTCGCCCCATCTCACTCAGAGTGAAGCACAAGTTCTGAGAATGACTTTGGGGCTTCCCCCTGGCCTCTGTGACCTGTCCCTCACCACCCTGCTCCACCTTCCTGACTTCCTTGCTCTTCCTTGAATGCACTAGATGGACACCTAACCTTCCAGATGTCTATAGGGCTGTTCCATTTCCTCCTGCCTTTTCTCCCGGGTCATCTCGAAGTAAGGCTCCCTCCAAGCATGCATTTGAAATTGCAGCCCCTCCCTCTCCCAGACTTTAGGCCCTGCTTTATTTTTTTGCCTTCTAACATTCTGGGTGTTCCTTTGTTTCATTTACCTGTTTCATGGCTGCAGTAAGCTCTGCAGGGGTCTAGGTTCTGTCTGTCTTGATCGGTCTTGCTCCTGTGCCCAGAGGGGGCTGGTGCACTGAGTGGGTGAAATGCCCTCCTGCCAGCTCCTCTCAGTGACCCCTCTGGGCCCTACCCCAGCACACCGCACTTTATTGTTCAGCGCAGGTCTCCACTAGGCCGACCAGCTTGAAGAGAGGGCCTTTCACCTCTGCATCCTGGCATCAGGGGGACTGTGGGATGAGTGGGCAGGAGGAGACTCTTGTCCCCAGGGTAGCTGTCAAGGCCCAAACCTTTCCTCCTGCTGAGGCCCCAGGCGATCCCCGTCGTTTCCACGCGGTGGCGCTGTCTCCCTGCGGCTGCCTGCAAGGCAGTGGCTGGGCCCTGAGCATTCATGGGGCCCGGGTGCAGCTGTGGCGGTGCTGGGAAGGCAACTTCGGGGGCTGCTGTGAGCTTTGCTTAGTCTGTCAGCCTCTGCTGAGGAAGGCCAGGTGCTGGAGTCCCCGGGGGCCCCTGCTGCTCCACATGCCCCTCCACTGCAGGTTGGCCTCTGGACTGCAGCCTGCTGCCTGAAATAATGTTTTCCACTTCGTCAAAATTGTCATTAAAGTAACACACTCACATGGTATAAAAGGAAAACCATAGAAATGTTTAGAAAGAAATACAATGTGGCCTGCCTCCTCCAATGACCCAGAAATGACCAGTTTGAGCTCTTTTTCTTCTGGTATTTCCCTTCTTAATTTGAAATAACATGCCTATGGAACTCTGTATTTATTGGTTAAAGTTCTGCATGCTGACTTCTCCCTCCTTGCTTTACCTGCACTCACCTCTGTGTCTTCCACTGAGTCCCATTCCCTGGACCATTGAAGGCATTTCCCCAGCATTTTCTCGCAGCCGCTGTTGCTGCTGAAGAGCAAGGACGTTCTGGTTCCTGATTCCTTTACATATCCTGATTTTTTTTTCTCTTTCCTATTACTAGAACATATTATAATTTTCCTTTTGTCCTTGGTTCTCTGGCATTTCACATTCTGTCTTCGGTATAAGTCTTCTTCCCTTTCGTGGCACTTCCGTGGCTCATGTGAACTGCACCAGTTATGGTCATGAACAGGGGACACCTGTGTTTCTTGGACATGCTTCCCACCCTTTTTCTGACCTTTTGGTCCCTCCTGGTATTTGTGGATAGGATGCTCATACCCATTCTCTACGTCTCAGGCCTTTTTGATTCTTAAATCTTTGCCCTTTAGTTCTGCTTTCTGGGTGACTTCCTCAACTTCTCCCTTCCAGTTCTTTTGGGATTTCCTGAACCATGTTTTTTCTTGACTCTATTTCTTTTCTTATGTCATACTTTTAAAATGAAATCTTATTTCTCTCTTTGTTATCTCCCTGATTTTTCTTGTCCCTGAGTATATTTCACTTTTTAAAAAATAAACATTTACCTGTTGCTCTATCTTCCATGTAAGGGGATTGTATCAATTGCCTGCTTTGGACTGAGTGGTCTGAGGAGGGGTCAGTGAGTGGCCACTTGGGGCTGAGGGTGAGGCAGACTGCCAGCAGGTATGCTTCTCTGTAGGGCAACTGGGGAGGAGAGAAGCCTTATGCTGGTGTTTGTTATGGTGTCACCAACTCCTCCAGGGATGAGTCCTTTGGGCAGTGGCTGCAGGCCAGAGGGGTGGGCACAAGTCCCCTGCTCAGATTGCTCAAATCTTTCTCTCCACCCTCTGCTATACTTTGGCCTCTGCACCTGCAGACCTGGGGCTCAGCTGTTCCAGAGTATGGTCCCCCTGTGGTGGTGGGCACCAGTGGGCATGGAGGTATCCTCCCCCTAGACAGTGCCTCGGACATCGGGTGAGACCTTGGGCTGGAGGCAGGGAGCCGGTCATAATTTCTTCCCCTTCTAGGCCACTTACCTACTTCCCGCCCTTATGCAGTCTCCCAAGACTTTCTTGAAACCTCATCTCTGCTGTCTCCTCTCTGGCTTTTGTTCCTTATGGCCTTCCACCTTTCATTTCTTTATTGTATTAAGCAGAGTGTCAGAAAGGGTGAGAATAGCTGTGTGCAGTTAGCCATGCTGACCTTGAGGTGACTCTGGGATGCCTTCCTAGTCAGTTTCAGATGGGCCTCTTGTCTTCCAGGGGTTCCTCCTTTAGGTAAGTAGGGCTCTGAATGTGGGGTCTGGAGGATGGTGACATCACAGGAAGTGGGTCAGCGTCAGACGGGCCTGGGCTCTGGCCAGCTCTGCTGCTTCACCAGCTGTATAACCTTGAGGAGAGATATTCAACCTCCTGGAGGCTCAACTACTTTTTGGTTTTAACTACTAGTAATCAGGGCTTATGTCTGACAGAGAGCATCGGGGCGGCCAGCTTGCCAGGCTGGCTCAGCCTTCATCATGCGTTCGTGCCCAGGCCCAGTTGGGTTAGGCTGAGGCCCACGCATGTGAGGTCCACTGTCCAGGCAGACAGCGAGCAGGCAGGGAGCCTCAGCCAGGCTCTGCCGCTGGGGCGAGCCAAGGGATCGTGGCTAAGGGCCCAACGGAGCACATCTTTCTCGGGCATACCATTCCCTGATGGAAAATCATTTAAAATATTTTAAATTAAAAAACGAATACATTATGCAGTAGATTAGAACATTAGCCTTCATCTAAGGCATGAAAGGGGAGCCTTCATGTAGATTGGTACCCAGTACTAGACACTTGAGGTGCAGGGGAAAGATCAAACTCTGGGCTCCACAAAAGAATAATTAACTGAAATGCACACTCTGGTTGTAAAACTTACATTAATCAAGAACAGATGCTTCCTGAATACTGCTCTGTAAGCTCCATGCTGAGTGGTGGGATTTCCAAGATGAACAAGGTAAATTTCCTGACATCAGAGGAAATAAACTTAATGAGAATTGGGAAACAATGTCAAGATTAGTTCATTTATTTTGCTGGGGAACTGAGCAAGGTCTGGGGGTAATTCAGAAAATCTTCTTGGCTTGAAGACAATATTTTGCTTCTCTTCTCTCCTTTCTGTTCACAGTGCTGGCCACGATCAACTTACAGTCACAGCATGAACTGCAGTTACTGTCCACCTTTCTCTTAAGTGTCCAGGTAAGTCTGGCCCTGTGCAGCATCAGTTTGGAATTCCGAGAATTAAGCCTCTTTGTCACGAAATCTGTGGCTCTTTAGAGTGCCCTCGGCTATGCTCAGGGCTCCCAGGCCTGGAGGGAACTCTGGGTCCCCAGCCTTCCAGCTCCCAGCCCTGCCTTCACACTGCAGGTCCCAGCCCTACTGCACCCGTGTGGCTGCACTGCCGGCAAGGGAGGCAGTGTGCAAATTGCTCTGAGGTGTTCTGTGGGCTGATGCCTGACTGTGACTTCCAGCCTCATGAGAAAGGGGCCCTTTGTGGACCAGACTTTGTTGCTGTGTATGCAGGCACCTCTAAATGTGAGGCCATGACTATCAGAGAGGTACTTGATGGACGAGGTGGGCTCCTGGTGTGGAACCTGAAGTAACCAGCGTCTTTGTCCTTACGCCTCCCTTGGGCTCTGGTGCTTCTGCAGACATGGGCCCGGGAGTGACTGCTATGTCCTCAGGGCAAGCCTGTGCGAGAGTCAGCATTCTGAAGTTATGTTACTTACTGAACACCCCAGCCAAGGGACAAAGCCAGACATTGTGCTGCAGGGCCTGCACTGATAGCTGTGTTATAGAATGCCCTGATTTTCTGGTCCAGTTTGGCAAAGTTTTGTTTAAACCAACTACACCTCAAAGAGGGTCCCACTCTGTATCCCTCTGACTCCTCAGCTAAAGAGTGGCAGCAGCTGAGGGGGTCTGTGCCCCCAGTGTGCCTCTCAGAAATGAAGTTCTCCTGACAGGACGTGGTTCTTCCCTGGAAGAGCATAGGCAAAGCTTGGCTTGATCCAGAAAACTGAGCAGTGTGGGAGAAGATTCCCAAGCAGATGATGAGTTCCAGCAGAGACCGACTGTGCACATCCCATGTTTTCTAGCTAACACTGTAAGGCAACAGGGTCTCCTGCACCAGCTCTGCCAGCTCTTTCCCCTCCAGCTTCAGCGTGCAGGCCACATGTGGGGGATGAGCTGTATTCTGCGTCCAGTAGCCTCTAAGGCAAGGGATGTGCAGCCAGGGAACGGTTGGGAGGACAGAAGGGCTGGGATTCCTCTCCATCAGGGGCTCCCCTCTGCCTCTTGTGGTCAGCTAACTTTTCCTTTTGTGGTAACCAGGGGGTTCAGCCCAAGATGGTGATGGAGTATTGGACGGGGTGGTTTGATTCATGGGGTGGCCCACACAACATCCTGGATTCTTCTGGTGAGTGCTTTATGATAACTACATCCGACCTGTGTGTGGAACTCAGAAATAAGACCAAGTTCCAAATAACATGCTAATTGATGTAAATTAGCTGTAGGGTGCAAGGCTCCTGGGATTATTTGTGTGTAATAGTCAGCTCTTGATATTCCAGAGTCATTTATCTTGACATTTGAAGTGAATGGTAGAACTTTTAACACTGCTTTATTATATTTTGTAATTAGATAAGTAATGCATACCTCTCGCCAGCATCCAGCACATATAGAAAATGTATGAAGAAGAAATAAAAATCCCAGAACCCAGAGAAAATATTTTGATACATACAGGCCAGGCAGTTCTTACTTCTGTCTGAGCCCTGTATGCACATACAGATAAAATGTGCACAAATGCGGTTAGATCTGGTCTGTTGCCTGCTGGTTCCAGTGAATGACACTAAAGGACATCTTTCTGTACTATTAGATGTAGACTTCAGCACTGTCTTAAAGAATGCAAAGAACCCCATTGTACTGGCAACTCACCCACAATTTATTTACCCAGTCTCTTGTTCATGAACACTTAGGTTGCTTCTGGCAGTTTTTGTTAATTGAACACTGTTTCACAGGGAGCATTCTTGAACATCCAGTTTTTCAAACTTGACATGTTATTACCCTAAGTTCCTAGCATTAGAATTGCTACATTAATGCAATTTTGAAATAAATTTACTATGCTCCCCTAAAAGATTGTAGCAATTCTTACTCACCATTTTATTAAATAATACCCATTTCCCACAGATTCACCAACACTGAGTATTAAAATAATTTTTTATATTTGCCAACCTGATAGGTCATTGTTCAGTTCCCATTTCTTCGACCAATACTGAGGTTTAAAAACTACATATAGTAATCATTTATATTTCTCCCTTTGTATTAGCTTTTCATGTTATTGGTTTATGCTGAAATAGAGGCAGGACTGGGAGGTGGTAAGAATTACATCTCTCATTAGGCATCCTACCTTCTTTCATCTGAGATGACCAGTTGACAGTCATGCTGTGCGGGGGTGCAAGGCTGCCCCATGCTGCGGTCCATCCAGATGGCAGTCAGTGGAGAACTGATTTAAGACCCCCTTCTCCCCTTCTCCCCCAGTCTCTGCAGTCAGGGTTTCAGGGAAAGCTGAAGGACAGGATGACACTGAGTTTGAGGAGGGCGGAGGAGGTGAGAGGCCAGAGGCACCTGTGGCTTGTCTCTCACTCTAACTTGGTCCCCCCACCCACTCCCCTGCAGAGGTTTTAAAAACTGTGTCTGCCATCATCGATGCTGGCTCCTCCATCAACCTCTACATGTTCCACGGAGGCACCAACTTTGGCTTCATAAATGGAGCCATGCATTTCCATGAATATAAGTCTGATGTCACCAGCTATGGCAAGTACTCCCCATCACTGACCCTCCCTGGACACCTGGATTCTTTAGGGACAGTCCTTTAGGGACAGCTTCTGGAATTGGTAATGCATTTGGCTTCGAGTGCCTGGGGAAGGTGGAGGTTTTGTGTGCATTGTCACTTTTGAACAGCTAGACTAGAGCCAGCTGACATGCGCGTGCACCTTTGGAGGTCAGCTGGCAGAAGGGAGAAGCACAGCCTTAGATGAGGGTGGCCTCCTGTCCCTGTCAGGCCCTGGAAATTATGCGACCCCTGCCCTCACTTTAGACTGAGATTCCCGAGAAGGTAGAAAAGGCACCTGCACACTTAGGGTCGTACTATGGCCATGGGCAGTTTGGATGATTTTATAGTACTTGGTATTCATAATATTTTGGCTGACAGCTCATATTCTAAATGTTTTGCCTCCCAAATTGCTGGGATGAGAACCCTGCACCCCACCCCACTGCCTCCCTCTCCTTTTGGTGTCACACACTGTCCTGGACGTGGGTGATAGTGACAGGGTGCTGGTATCTTGCAGACTATGACGCGGTGCTGACGGAGGCTGGAGACTACACAGCCAAGTACATCAAGCTCCGGGAATTCTTTGGCTCCATCTCAGGTGCGTGGCAAGCAGCAGACTCAGGCACCAACTGGGGCCCTTGCTTCGGCCCTCAAACCCCTTCACAAGTTGCCTCCATGCTGCCCACCTCAGCTGTAGCTGATGTGTGTGCAAGAACATCTAGACAAGGACAGGCAGGTTTGGGAGACTAACTGTTCTCATCCTAGTGTGTGTTTTGCGAACTTTATTTTTTTATAGCTTCCAAGACTCCCGTGGGTATGAGGAAGCCCCTGAACTCCTGGGACATTGCTTGTCTTCCTCTCAGGGTCTAGGCACATGCAAGGGTGGTCCTTTCTCCCCTGGGCTCAAGGAGAGAGGAACACACAGGACTGGTGTCAGGAGGCTGGGCGGGCGGTGACTGGTCCTTTCGGGCTGGCCCTGTGCTCTGTGTTGCAGGTGCCCCTCTGCCGCCCCTGCCTGACCTTCATCCCAAGACTGCTTATGAAGCAGTGAGGCCAACTTTCTACTTGTCACTGTGGGATGCCCTGATGTACCTGGAGGAGGTGAGTGCTGCTAGACAGAGCGGGTCAGGAAGCCCTGCTGGGCTGTCATGGAGGAGGGCAGAAGTATGTCTTGGCAGCCTGGAGGTTCACTGTGCCCTTTAGGACCCTGAGCAAACTCTGCTAGAGCATGAAGTGGGAAGGAACAAAGAGCTCGTGGGATCCTGGGTAACTCAGCAGGAGTCCCTTTGTCCTGCCTCCGTGGGAGAGGAGCCTAAAGAGGCAGGGGAGTGGGCACAGCCGTGGGCTGAGAGCTGCCCTCTGTGGCTGACCCGAGGTGGGTGGGAATGCTGCAGTGGGGGGTGGCCAGGCTGAGGCCCACTGTGATGCAGGGCAAGATACTGTGTCGCCACATTTCCCCTCTCACCCTGGAGAGCCACGGAGCCAGTGTGATGAGAGGTCAAGGAGGAAAGCATGTCAGAGGCCCTGCCCCACCTCAGGGTGCTGACCCCCAGTGGGTCTGTCTGCTACCCCGCACCCGCCACAGGGCTTCAGTGAGGTTGCTGCCCTTTCCCTCCTCTGCCTAATCCCTGAGTGCCCCCCAACCCAAGCCCCCCACCATCTCTCTATACAGCCAGTCAATTCTGAAAGGCCAGTCAATATGGAGAACCTGCCTGTGAACAATGGGAATGGACAGTCCTTTGGGTACATTCTGTACGAGACCACCATCGCCTCATCCGGTGTCCTCAGCGGTCTTGTGCGTGACCGAGGGCAGGTATTCCTGGGGCCTTGGGGTTATCAAGCCCTGTAGTATACCTCTGACTATCTGTCCTCGGCACTCGGGTGGGTGGCTGTTACCAGTGTGTGGAGGGGGCCCATCGCCATTGGCTGCGCAGTCCTTCCCAGCTGCAGTCATGGGCATTTGTTTTCCTGCTGTGCCTGGCTAAAACCCTCAGCACACACAGCGACGCTTCTTGCTCTGCTCAGCAGAGGCCCCTCCTCCACCTCCCTCCTGTGTGTTCTGTTCACTTGGCAGGTATTTGTGAACACAGTATCTGTAGGATTCTTGGACTATAAAAGGAAGCAGATCGTTATCCCCCTGATCCAGGTTTGTCACCCTGGGGAGCTGGGTGATGATGGCTAGTGCCAGCTGCTCCCTGAGCAGGTTTGGTGGGAGTCAAAGAGGAAGACCTGGAAGACGAGCTCCTTAACCGCAGAGCTGCCGATGGAGGGAAGGCAGAGCATTGCTTTCTGAGCAGCGGGTACTCTTTCACTCCCATCCTCAGAGTTTAGGGAAGAACTGGAGTTCCACAGTGAAACCCTGAGGTGCAGTTGTGACCTTATGGCTTGGTGATCAGGTGGTCACCGTTGCCACTGTGTTCCTGGCAGGGTTACTCCATGCTGAGGATCTTGGTGGAGAATCGCGGGCGAGTCAACTATGGAGATAATATCGATGACCAGCGCAAAGGTGGGTCACAGCAATGCTGAGAGAAGGGCTGCGTGCTCAGCATGCCTGACTATCCCTTCTCCACCCAGCAGGTCACACAGACTGACCACAGCAGGCAGGGCATGGGCTAAGGAGGCCCAGTGGGGGGAGGTGGGGTCATGGAGGCCCAGTCGAGGGAGACGGGGCATGAAGCCTCAGTAGAGGGTGGTCGAAGTGGGCCTGAGAGGCCCGGCTGGGTCTCTCTCTTCCCAGGTAGGACTCCTAGGCATGCTGTCAACTTGCCCATGGTGAACACATGGCTGACACTGAGCCAACCTCCTCAGGTCTGCCTGGGCTTCTGTTTGCTTCAGCACAGGGGCTTTCAGCACAGGGCTCGGGATGAGGGTGGGGTGCTGGGGGTAAGGGGCAAGGCAGCGGGTTGCCAGGAATCTAAAAGAGGCATTGGACCCCTGGCTTCCTGGTCTCCACACTGAATTTTTTTTCCTGATGCACCTTGGAAGCCCCTGCAGATCCCCTTTGTGTTGGGGAGGAGGAGGCAGACACACAGTGAACAAAATGCTCTCATGCTGTGCCCCTCTAGGAACGGTACACCAACTCACTTAATTTTTCCTGGCCATCTCAGTCTTTTCTGCTTAAATTTGCCTCTTCCTTATCTGTTAAAATGTGGATGATTTCATGTAAGTTATGAAATACAAACTCAGAAAAAATAAATCTTACTGTGGTAGGAAACACCGGAAGACATTCGAACTCTCTCATGGGTGTCCCCGCTTTGTGATGCAGACACCTCTGCGTTGCCTCCCTGCCTGCCAGGGAAGTGATACGGCCCAGCCCCTGGGAGCTACCTGGATCCTGTGACTCGGTTCTCCAGAAGTGCTCAGCCTAGCTTCTAGCACCCTGCAACTCACCCTCCTGTCTGCCTAAGCGGTCCCTGCTGGGTTCCTCTCTGGGCCTCAGCTTCTTACCCTGAAGAGCTCCCTCTCCAGGCCCATCTTCACTTCCTCTGTTCTGCGGGTGGATAGGGACAGCCAGCCTGACCCTGTTCCCAGTCTCGGCCTGCCAGGCCTCTGACCATCATGTGCCCTCTCCAGACTCTCACTGTGGAGTGCCCGTGGAGCAGTTCTGTGTGTAAAGCCACAGACCCCCTCTCCAGAAATGGGTATGCCCCCCACACCTGAACCTGCCACATGTGGGAGTTGGTAGGCCCTGTGAAGCCTGTTTGCTTTCCTTCAGTCTACCCACATTCCCACCCTGGCAACTCAGCAGCCCTCAGTGGGAGGGCCCTGGGAGCTGCCGTACTCTTGACTACTCGCTATTCAAGTGTGCACAGTACCGCCGACTTGGACACACATGTCATGTTGCCATCTGTTCACAATTTAAATACTTAAAAAAAGTCTTTAATCCTATATCATACAAGGATTTCTGTCTGAACTATTAGGCCTTTTTAGACTAGGACCTCCCCAAACCGACCTCAAAGCTAGACTGCAACTGCTGTGGCCTGCAATCATGTGTCGCTTTGGACTCATTTTAATTTGCTGGAATTCTCAGCCCCCCAAGGGAGATCCCCACTCAGAGAGAGACCATAGGCTGTTTCTCTGTGACATGCCCACCCTGTCATTCCTTCAAATGTATTCTTCCATGTAGTCCCTGGCACATACTGGTAATACTCATTCTCTTCCCCTTTGAGGTGTCTAGGGAAGGTTTCTTGCTGCAAGAACAGCTGCTCAGGGAGTACATACTTCAGGAGAAACTCTTACTTGAACTTTCTGAAAACTTTTCATGTATGTGCCCAGCCCTAGCCAGGTCAGTTGCCCCCTGCCTTTGGCCAGGCTCATGCTTCCTGGCTTCTGTCCCACAGGTTTAATAGGAAATATCTATCTGAATGATTCTCCCCTGAAAAAATTCAGAATCTACAGCTTGGATTTGAAAAAGAGCTTCTTTCAGAGGTGGGTCCATGCCCTGCACAGCGTGTAAGCTTACGTACGACCACAGAAGAGCTGGGAGGGCCTGGGGGCTGCTCTGCCTGCCCCTCCTAACAAGCAGTTCAGGTGGCACCTGGGCCCAGCAGGCTCTGGTCAGGGCAGAGGCTCTGCAGCACTAGTGCCTCAGGGACTCTGGATCTGCCCTGCTGCCTTCCCTGTGCCCCAGGTCCAACGGGGACTTGGGGTGCCTTTGCAGGCAGATGCAGGATGGGCCCAAGCCCTCCCTTGTCTTCCATCCCGCCTGCAGGTTCAGTGCTGACAAATGGAGCCTCATCCCCGAAGTACCCACATTCCCTGCTTTCTTCCTGGGCGCCTTGTCTGTTGACCTCTCTCCTTCTGACACCTTCATGAAGCTGGAGGTTTGGAACCCCTCCCTGCCTGTCACCCCCTCTACCACCTGCATCTGGGGGTTCTCTGTGTTTACATTGCCTTCTCCAAAAGGGCCCCTGGGGCCTCCCTGGGGTAGACGGTGGGCTCAAAGCAGAAACCTAGTGGTATTTCTCAAGGTCCAGTCTGAGTTGAATGGCCTGCTGGGAGGCTCAGAGCTAGTGGGAATGGGAGGGAACATCCACCCATAAGCCTCATGGCCATTAAGACATTGGTTTGTGTGGGTCTCTTGGAAGCTGAGAGAACACATGGCTTGTGTCTGTGTCTCTGCCTGCCTATGAGACCTTATATTCAGTGGCGGGTGTGGTTGATTAACACCTTCCCTACTCTCCTCAAAGGGCTGGGAAAAGGGGGTTGTATTTATCAATGGGCAAAACCTTGGACGCTACTGGAACGTTGGACCCCAGGAGACCCTCTACCTCCCAGGTGCCTGGTTGGACAAAGGCAGTAACCAGGTGGGAGTACCTGCTGCCCTGGAACCCCTTCTGAACCCTGTTCTCCCAGGTATCGCGGTATTTCCCTGGGGGCCCCATGGTCACAGACTAGTAAGGCTGGTTAGGGCACGGGGGGGATGCTTTGGCCAGCCCCTTCTGCTGCCCTTCCTGGTGCTGCGAGGGGACCTGGCCCCTTCCAGCCTGGCGCCAGCCCCTCCCTTCAGACCCCCTCATCTGGCTTCCGTCAAACGCCAGCCCTTCTGACCCCTAGGTCATTGTTTTCGAGGAGACGATGGCAGGCCCTGACATACAGTTCACTGAAACACCCCACCTAGGCAGGAGCCAGTACGTTAACTGAGAAGCACCGCGCAGCGCCGCCAGGGCCGAAGCAGGCCTGCCATCCTGCGACCCGCTGACCTGCCTTCGCTCCTGCGCATGCGCGAGGTTCCCAAATCAGTGACTCAGGGAGCCAAGGAGCTGCTGCTTTGCCAGTGCCTGGTAGAACCGAAGAAGGTGGGCTTCCTGCCTGCCTAATGGCTCCTTGACGGGCTTTGCGGCTGCACCATTGCCACTTCCCCGCTCTCTGGGTGGGGACAGCGGGAAACACCCGCGGGTGGGAAGGTCTGGTTGACCTCTGCTGATACCTGGGTCCTCAGGGACGTCCGGCTCCTGGGCATGCCTGCTACTCTGTGTGACCTCCCTTGGGCTGGGTGCACCCCTCAGGGTCCCTTTTCCTCTCTGGATGGTGGGTTCGTCACCGTTTGTAGAGGATAGGTGGTGCAGGGGTCTCCCCTGAGTCCACTTTGTCCTTCACAACCCTCCCTGAGTTTTCTCTGAGATTCTGGAAGAAACTGAGAGATGCACGTTTTCTCCTTTTCATTCCCACTCAGTTGCATCTGACAGACTGACAAACCCAGTTTAAGAAACAGAAATATTCAGCCCCTTATTTTCCTTAATTAGTGAGTATTTCCAGTTTTACTCAATGAGAAGCACCAGCTGAGGAAGAAATGTAGATCCTAGTGAAACTACGTCCCTGTCTGAGGATCCAGGGAAGCAAAGGGCAGAAGACCAGCCCCATTGTGTGGGTGGGTAGCCACCCCCAGGTGCCAGGCCTGGCTCTGTTTCTCTCCCTCGACCTCCTGGACTTAGCAGAGGGAGAAGAGGTAGCCTTCCTTCACAGTTGTCTGCCCACATTTGAGGCGCTAGTTCTGGGAATTCAGTCCAGTGATTTGGTTCAGGTTTGCGTCCTGAATTGCAATAAAGCAACAGAGTTGAATCAAACTCTCTATGGTGGTATTTTTCCAGTCCCATCTGTGCAATTCACCAGAGGCAAAGGCAGTGTTGGGTCAGGCACCAGCTGGCACGCATGTCCAGACACCGCCTTTACCCACTTAGTGGGTGATCCAGCTCCTGGCCCCTTACCTCCCTCCTTACCTCCGTTCTTCCCGAAATATCACTGTGGACTGGAAGTGCCCTTGGAGAGGAGAAGTCAGGTCCATTCTGGTGCTGGCAGGCAGAAGGTGAGAATCTGCTGGACAGCTCTACATGTGAGTTAGCTACAGTGGCTAAGTTTTCTTCGCAAACGACATGTGGATTCCACTGCCACAAACTTATTACCTTCAGTAATAGTCAAAGTCAAATAGATGCCTCCCCAGGGAGCCCGTAAAGAAAGGGGAGCAGAATAGCAGGCATAAGGTCCTCAGGCTTGCATTGGTCAAGGACCAGACTCTGCAGGGGCACTTGTGTGCAGCCACTGGGTGGGCCCAAGAGCTGAGGCCTTGTACAGTTATGCACATGCACGGGCTGAGCCCTGGGTTCCCTAGGGCAGAGGAATGGGACTTATTAAAATGAACATCATAGACAATATTTGGGGGCCAGTTCCCCGATCTTGCCCAAACTCACCAGCTATTCCTGAACTGCTTTGGAATAGAAAGCATAGAGCTAAGACATGGTTGAGACCAGGGTTCCTTGGGCATGGCCCATGCTCGCTTTACGACAAAGCACACTTCTACAAAGCTGCATGTAAGTTGTCTTCTGTTGCAAAATGTGACAATGAATTGGTAAGTAAAGGAATTGTGCAGCAAATAAAGTGAAGAATCCCCTTGAATTACCCTTTTAGCAAATCTGCACAGGGATGCACTGGTCTTTCTTAAGGTAAGGGCCTCCTGCACAACCTTGCTATTCATTACCTCTGCCAAACCACCCTGCAGCTTTGCCGCCAGAGCCCCTGGCGGAGCCCCTCCTGCAGTGTTCACTCACAGTTTGCCCAGATGCTCCCTCCTGGGTGGCTTCACCTCAGTTGCCACGGATCCTCCTCATAACCCAATCTCTAAATGCGGGACGTCTCCAGGCCACTCCTCAGACCTCTTTGCTCTGCCCACATTGGCTGTGGGTGGCCTCATCGACTTGGGGATCCTATACAGCCCTGGGTCCTCTTCCCTGACCCTCACCCTCTGAGTTCCAGGTGCCCTGGCCCTGTCATCTACCCTCTTGCCACGTGTTTAACAGGCAAGGGGTACCAAACTGATTACTCACACATGTTCCCTCCTGCACTCTGCCCCTCATCAGGAAGTGGCAATTCTGTTCTGTGTCTTGATTTTTTTTGGCTCCGCTCTCGTATCTCACATCCAATCCATCCGAATTCTCCTGGCTGTACCTAGTACACACATCCAGAACCCAGCCACTCTCTGCTCACAGCTTGCCCCTTTGTCCAGCTTGCCATCACCCTGTGGGTTATTACAAGTGCTGCCTCTGCTAGCCGCCCTGTCCTCTCTGTTTATTGTCAGCCCAAAAAGGGGAGTGATTCTTCTCAAGGGCCAAGTAGATCACCAGTCCTCTGCTTCCAACCCTCCAAAGGCTTTCTTTTCCCAATAGATGCCAAAGCATCACCCCTACATTCCCAGCACCGACATAATCTATGCCTCTCCCATGCCCACCACTAGCTCCCTCCCCTTTCCCAGCCAGTCACAGTGGCCTTTTGCTGATCTCCAAATATGCTAAGCACTCTCCCAAGTGGGAGAGAGCTCTTTTCTGGAATGTTCTGACCCACATAAGTGCAAATGTGCTTGCTGCTGCTCTTGCCCAGGTGTTACCTTATCAGAGATGCCTTTCTGACCAAACTGTAGAGGTGTCACTCCTGTCCACAGATGCACTCAGCCTCCTGCTTCTCCTTAGAACTGATCCCATCTGAAATATTATCGATTCACTTATTGCCCATCTACCTCCTCTCAGAAGACCAGTGTTTTGGTTTTTCCCCCATTCTGTGCCAGTCCTAGAATAATGCCGGCTCCCAGGAGGCACCTGACGAATAAGTGTCTGTTGGATGTGACAACATATGGGAATAAAGTATGGCAGGGCTGGGGAGGATTAGGGCTGTTAAAAAACATATTTGAGTTTTAATTTCGAAAACAAATTAAATACAGTTAAATTAAGACAGACCGGATGGTGCAGTTGTGTGGGTCCACCCTCACCCCACCTGCGCGGGGAACCCCAGCCCCCACCTCACTCCTTCATGGTGGAGAGCAGGAACAGACCTGGTTGGGAAAATGAATTGTAGTCATAGACTCAATTCTGATTTATCACAAACTCATTCCCAACGAAGATGAAAGCTGCAGTCCACCAGGGTCATAATTATAAATAAATACACATGCAGCTAAGAGGGTATTAAGTAAAAACAACTCAACTAGCATCTGCCAAAAAAAAAACACAGTAAGAGAGGATATCCCACTTTGTTGTTCGTGATCAATTTCCTGAAAATGAGCCCTGCATTTTTAGCCAAGAAGGCGGCCTAAGACCAGCCGAGCTGCCCTGAGCATTCAGGGCTAGTGTCAGGGAGGGAGGCAGTGGAGTGCCTGGGTGTAAACTCACTCATGTGACTGGTGCCCTCTGGCCACCTGCTCCCATTTTCCCCTGCCCCCCCACTTGATACCAGCGGGTTGATTCCCAGAGCAACCATCCAAAGTGTGCAAGGCTGGGGGACGTCCTGCAAGGTGGCCCAGGGTTCTCAGGAATGGGATCCCATCTGTGATTTCAGGAATACTGTGGGAAGTTAAATCCATTTCAAAGTAGGCAGCCAATGCTATTTTTTTGAATGTTGGATCGCTGGACTGAGTCTTAGCACCCACTCACCCACAGAAGAGTGGGTTCTCCATGGCCCTCAGGCTGGTCCTGGGAGTTTAAATGGGATGGGGCTGTTAGCAGTTAAAAAATAAACACCTCTTCAGTAGGCTCAGGCCTTTCCTTTTCCTTCACTTGGGAGGAAAATTGTGCTTCCAACTTGCAGGAGCATAAGTGAGATGACCCCCAGTCAGAAAACCAGGGGTCAGCAGAGAACAAGGACCACTTTTCCTCCTGGTGGTGGAGCAGCAAGTGCACACGGTTCTTTCTCTGGGGTGGGAAGGGGGCAGTGGGACAGGAGGTGGGCTTGTTCTGCTGGTCCCCAGCTTAGGAAGAAGAGGGTTCCTTCCTGTTTGTGTTTACAATGCAATGGTTTCCGAAGTTGCATGTACCCACCTCTCCTTTCCTCTCAGTGCCCAATGATCTCTGCCCCTTTTCCACAAATCCCTCTGCTAATCCCAAGTACCCACCCCCAAACCAGGGGCAGGAAGATGTCATGGAATTGCCCCGCCTCCCTCCTCTCCTTCCTCTTCGTCCACCCCTGGCTTGTGGGAGCCCCTGAGGTTTGTGGTTCTCAAGTGCTCCCGGGAAAGGCTCCTGCCCATCCGACCCCAGCCCCAGTTCCAGTCAGGGGCCCTGAAGCCCAGTGGGCAGTGGTAGACAGTGTGTGGACAGGGGGCCACACAGTCTTAGTCTAGGCCAGTCCATGACCTGTGCTGGCTGAAGGGCCCAGTGCCTTCCCTGCGCTGGAAGGATCAGGCTTGAGGGGTGCAGGGCTGGAGGAAGGGGCTCTACTCCCACCACAGCCTGAGGTACCAAGGGAGCCTGCTGGCAGGCCCCAGCTCCCCTCCTGCAGGGCTGGTCACCTGTTGTGATTCAGGACAGCCTTATGCTCTGGAAACGGGCCAGAGGAAAGCAAGAGAGGTATGTCTACTTGGGAGCATCTGGCTAAGGAGGGGAGGAGGTGGGGCTGCTCTCTGGTCTCCAGAATTCCTTGGCCAGATGTCCTGTGTGGTCGTGCTAGGCCCACAGAGCAGGGAGTGGGGGAGGCTACATTCCACTTGACCGCAGGGCTTTTGCCTTCCCTCAGCCTGGAGTCTCCAGGGCTTGTGCTCCACAGGCCCTGTCAGTGCTGCACACTCTGGGGGCATGTGGGGGCAGCAGCTCCCTGGATGGAGTGGCCAGGCTAGCATCTGGGCCCCTGCCCACGCTGGATGGAAGAGAACAACAGGTCTGGGATTTCTGTGCTTTATGTTCTCCGTCCTTTGTCCAGGCACCAGCCTGGGCTCTCTGAAGCCCCCAGAATAGGAGAGTGAGGTGATTCCTGAGGAGTTTGCCTTGGTGGGACCATCAGCGGTGGGGAGAGGATGGAAGGCCAGGAACAGGGTCTGAGAAGGAGACTCCTGTGGAGGGAAAGCAGATGAAGGAGAGGGGGCACCCTGTCCAGCCTAGCTGCCCAATCCTGAGCCCCCAGCCGGGGTTGCCTGAGAGCTCTGCAGAGCCAGCCCCCAGGGTCCTCCCTGGACTCCTTACTGGGGTGGGGGTGGGCTCTGCCAGTGCCCTGGTGAGGTAGGAGGCAGGGAAGAAGGCTCTGTACTGTCATATTCTCAGTGGCACTGGCTAGGTTGATTTTTTTTAAGTTGGGGGACAAAACACAGCCTGACACCCTGTGGTCCCCAGTAGGCAGGCAGTACAAATACAACACAGAAGCTAATGCTTAACTCCACGGCCAGAGGGCAAGTGTGCATCCCACTGAGCTCCCACCTCTGTGATGAGGTCATGCAAAAGCCCATCGAAAATTCCTGGCTTTACCAATCACCTGCCACAATTCTCTTAATTTAGCTTTCCTGAGCATCATTTCTCTAAAATGTAGGTAGAGCCTGTGGCCTACTTCAGTAGAGGGTTTTTAAAGAATCAAATAAAAATAGGAACACTTATATGGAGCTTATGTACCAGGGACTATTCTTCCTATCCCCAGTAATGCGTTCTGCAGATGAAGAAACTGAGGCCTAGAGAAAGAAAGTAAGTTCAAACCATGAAAAGTGGTAGGCCTGGGAGCTGAACCAGGCTCTGGGGTCTGTGTGTCCACCCCTGTGCTACACTGTCACTACTACAGTAGAGGGATACATGGGCATGCTTGGTGAGGTGGAAGTGGTGAGCTTGGGGTCCTTTTCATGGCAGCATGACTGTAAAGGAATCCACGCAGAAAGGCAGAGCCCGGGAGAGGGTGTACATAGCAGGGCCTTGCAGTGGGGTAAGGGTCGTGGCCAGAATAATACTAGTAGGGACAGGACATTGTCATGAGAAGGTGTCTGAACGAGAGGCTTTCTGAGGAGCTGGGGGCAAGAGGACCCAGCTGTGTGGGGAGCTGGCTCTTGAACTCCAGATGATGCAGTGGGAAGGGGTCCTCAACCATTTTCTTCCACTCCTCTGGAATTTGCCCTGTCCTCCCACAATTAAAGCCCAAGAGGCCTGGGTGTGCCCCTCGTGTACCTGGATCCTGGGCTCAGATCTCCACAGTGGGGTCAGTGAAGCCTTTTTTCCCCTCATTCACCAGCACTGGCTTCTCTGTCCGTGTGTGCCAGACCAGGATCTGCATCCAGAAACATGAAACAAAGCAGGGCATCACCTTGCCACCTCCCCACTTCCACCCACACTTGGGGCGTATTTCCCCGTCTCTCCTACTCTGACCCTGTTGCATCGAGGCTTCCTCCATTGTTCTTTATTTCTAGCTATCCCCTCATTTTTGCTGTTTGACCATAGGATGCATTCAGATTATCTGTTGGAAACAAATTCTACAGCTACAGAAAATAGACAAGTCCTGAGATTTTTCTCTTGCTTCTCAGCTTCTGCTGCATTTCTTAAGGGGTCCCTCCCTAGACAGGGAAAAAGTTCTTCAGGACCCTTCAGCTCAGCCAGGTGAGAGCCCAGGCTCTAGCTAGAGAAACTAGAAGCAGTGTGTGTGTGTTTTGTGTACCTATGCATGCACATATGTCTGCTGTGTACACTTGTGCATGTGTGAGCTTGTGCGTGTATGTGCACGTGTGTACTTGTGTTTGGCAGGGAGCTCACAGAGCCCAGGTGTTTGGCAGTGAGAGAGGGGGTGCAGTCTTTGGCTTTGCCTCACTGATGGCCTCCCTCTGCATTTCTCTGCTTGACTTTTCCATGACTGCCTAACAGGTGATAAACTGCCCTCCAAGAGGGTGTTGTAGGAAGGCATGGCTCTAGGCTAGTTCTTTGCAAGCCTGTTCTGTAATCTTTGCCTCTCCCTTGTCTGTAGGTAGGGCTTAGTTGAAAAGTTTGCATCACAGCTGGAAGTTCTGCTGGGGAGTCTTACCTTGGTGCAGTTGGCTGCCTTGGGTTCCAGATCATTGAGGGTCACAAGTTCTCGGAGGAGGCTGCTTTCCTGGTAGCCTCCCTTCACACCACGCAGCTTGAAGTAGGCCTGGCTCCGCTGCAGGATGAGCCGCAGGTTGACTGCAAATCCGGCCATGTCTATTGCAAACGGGCGGTGTGGGTCGAACACTGTCTTCCAGCCGACCACCTTCCCTGCCCCGTTGACCCGTGGAGCTTCATACCGCAGGCCGCCAACAAAAGCAACTGGCCACACAGATACCCTCCTGGTGCTGCGCATCTGCAAGGGAGGATCCAGAATCAGGACACCTGGGACTCCTGATGGGATGGGGTGCCAGTCCTCCCGAAGGCGATATCATCAATTAACTATAGCCAAGCCAGGATTCCAGGCCAGATGCATCTGCCTGTGCTGGGCTTCTGTGGGGGACGCTGCCCTCTGGGGTGGTCAAGGCCTAACCCATTCAACCAGCTGATATTCCTCTTCTGCACGTGGCCTGCTGGCCCACTTTCCCCTTGCTGCAAAATCTCTCAGTCCCACTATGGAGTCTGAAACGATGCCTCCCCTTCTGCAGACAACATTGACTCACAAGCCCAAACCATGGCAGAGTGGCTCCCCTAAAAGCCCTGACTCAGACAGTATCTCTGAGGCCAGGATTAGCACCCAGGAGCTTTGACACCAACTTCCTCCCCTTAAACCCATGCAGGCTGTTGATCCCCTTTTCCACCACTCCCCTAGTTCCCTGCAGGCTGCACTGCCCGCCCGGGGCCTAACCCCTGGCTCATGGTTTCCCTGTATGGCCACAGCCACACGTGCATCTCCATCCCCTCGCTGGAGGGCCCCTCTCGCTGTTTGCACCCCGTACCTCCTCAAAGAGCTCCAGGCTATAGGTGTTATCATCATCTGCGAAGTACACCACACCAGGCTGGCTAGAGTTTCGAGGGAAGGTCTCACGCAGCCAGCGCAGGGCCAGGTTGCGCTGCATGGTGCCACGCGGGATGCGTGGGTCGCGGGTGTCACCGCGCAGCTTGTAGTTGCGGGGTGTCTCCACATGCAGGTGCGTGTAGTTGAGGCCGGTGTCGCGCAGCAGGCGCGCCGTGAGCGGGGTGCGGCGCGGCGCGTCCTCCACCACCAGCCAGTGTAGATTGGGTACGTGCAGCAGCGTGTTGGCCATGCGTGTAAGCTCGGCCTTCTGCACTGGGCGGCTATAGGTGGGCGTCACCACATGGATGGTGGGCAGC